GCCGGTGACAGAGGAGATAAAGTTCGTGGACGAGTCGGCAATTGCTGTACCCGCCACTTTACGCCAGGTGGCTACTAAGGTGCTGATTCAAATTTTGAGTGATGCTTGCTCAAATATGAACAATTTATCTGACCGCATGTCTTTGTATAATGGGAAGCACCCGTTGCAAAATCGGTGGGTCCTGTGGTACGACAACCCGAAGAAGCGTCACTCGACCGAATCTTGGGAGGAGAACTTAAAGAACATATACGCATTTGACACAGTGGAAGATTTTTGGTGGTAAGTATAATCTCAGATATTGTGAAGGAGATATTTGATCGAATTTTAACTCCTCTGCCAGCCTGTACAATAACATTTTGGTGCCTACGAAGCTTTCAATCGGCAGCAATTATCACTTGTTTAAAGAGGGTATTCGACCTATGTGGGAAGACCCGATCAATGCAAAGGGTGGCAAGTGGATTTTTACCAATCCTCGCTCTCGAAAAGCGCGATTAGATGAGTGCTGGCTCTACGTGGTGCGTTGTATACTGGATGCGAAGACTTACTACTTAAATTTATCGAGAATCATTGGTTTTGACCTGTTTTTAGATGCTTTCGCTAATTGGTGAAACACTGCATGACGAAGATGATATCAGCGGCGCTGTAGTTAGCGTTCGAAAAGCGCAAGACCGCATTGCTATTTGGAGCGGAACTGCTAGCGCCGAAGACCGCCAAAAGGCTATCGGACGTGGCTTTCGCCAGGCACTTGTCGATCTTGGCAAAAATGAGATACTCAAGTATCAGTCGCATGCTGATGCTGCAGCCAGTGGATCAAGCTTTCAAAACGAAGTGTACGTCGCTTGGTCTTCTTACATGTAATCCTTGCTTGATAATTAAAATGAGTGGTATGTTGATATTTATTCAGCCTGTATGAGGCGTAGCCCATGTCGATTTTATCAAGTTCGTTTTCGTTGGCTTGCACTTATAATTCATACAAGTACCGCATATTTTGCTATCTACGCTTGTACCGACTCCGTTCAGACACTTACAGACTAAGCGCTTCGTTCATGGTTTCCTTTGAGCACGTCTTGTCACTATTTTATCTGGAAAAAACGCACCGTCTCGTCGTCGCTGGCCGTAAGAAGTCCAGCAACAAAATCACAATTGAAGTCATGAACGATCGTAATATCGAGCACCATATCCGTATGACCAGCCAATGTCTTCAGTAGCTGCCCTATGCGTGCATCCCATGCGTATATGAGACCCTCCACCGTGCAAGCGTACACAATTTGTTGCGTGGGGTGCCACAGCAGCTTGATTACACCAGCGGGGTGGCGGCAAACATGGCGACACTGCCTCGCAAGCAACATCGTGAGAGTACGTAATTTTGCTGTTGTCCACACTCAACTTACATGGTAAGTTGTTAAGTCCCAGATGCGTAAGAATCCACCAAGGCAGCCTGTGGCAGCCCAATTCATCGTGTTGCAAAATCCGCCACTACAGATGCGCCTCATAAGCTTACATCCACCTATTACTGTTAGATTGAACTGCCCACGCACCACTCCACCGAGTTATTTGTTGAAACCGTCACTTCATTAACAGACCCGGCAATGGTCGAGTCAACACCATCGTGTGACAGCGTGGCCAGTACACGCTTGGTCTGCACCTGAATAAGCCTTGCGGTACCATCTTGTGAGCCCGACAGCATCACCGGTTGCTAAATTTCATGCACATCACCGTTGGTCATTTAATGCACAATTGACCCTTTCTTTTCTAAGCATACGCTTGGATGACAGGCTAAAAATGTCACAGGGCCTTCATGAAACTCGTGCCTGCTCGTTTACGACACCTGTAGGTAGGTTCCAACCATTTTTAAGTAATGTACGCACCCTCTGAATACGAAATTGCATTCACCAGTCTTCGGATCCCACAATCGTACAGTGGAGTCCGTGCTCCCTGTTACAATCATCTACCAAAAAACTCGAGGCATTAGCACTACATCAATTAGCTAGGTGTAGCACGACAAACATTGATTGCTTACCTTCCCAGACACTGTAAATGATCCGCACGTCACGCCGTCTTCATGTCCGGCAAACACATGCATGCACTCTCCAGTCGTGGCGAGCCACATCCACACGGTGCCATCGCCCGATCCAGCCAGCACAACGTTACCTTTTTTGTGCCAGCAAACCCACTCAACCTCTTGCGAAGGACCTTCAAGATTTTGTACCAAGTTGCCCGTGGCGACATCCCATATTTTTACCACGCCGTCGTAGCCTCCAGTGGCCGCATACTTGCCGTCAAAACTAAATCCAACGCTCACCACTGAGTCCTGGTGGCCCAACAGTGTGTGCAGCACGTCACCATTCTCACAATTCCAAATGACGCCCACATCATCGCCTCCGCCCGTAATGACGATGCGCGGGTCCACTGGATTAACGTTAATCGAGTAAACTGGACCTGAGTGTTTGGCAAAGACCTGTACGCGAAGGTAGTTAGCACATAAGCTCTTGCTCAGCAAACTTCTTCTAAACGATTACCATCAAGGCATCATCGCGCACGTCCGCATCCTCAGCTGAAATTTTTCCTTCGTCGTCCTCGTCCTCCATGGCCTTGTCATCGTCATCTATCCAGAAGCCACATTAAGGTGAGTCGATGTATTTGCGGTTCAACCACTGTCCCTTATCCACCAATTGTGAATTACCTTGCGGTGCTTCACCGATATCAAATTCCTGGGCAGTCTCGTCGGCCGTGATGACCTCAATTTCCGTCTCCTCGATGTCAAGGGTTGCCATTTTTTAGCTTGTCAAAAATAGTGACCACCACGCATACACAGGCTCTTTCAATTCGTTTAAAATACGACTAAACAACGTGCGCAATAAAGATGCGGTTCAGCGTGACAGCCACGACGGCCATCATTGCGTGCTCACTAATAGCCGCAGCTTATGTCGGTGTGCTATATACGCTACCTCATGCGATTCGGAGGCTTCCACGCGATCACCCAACTCACGTTAGCTGCGCAGCTCTGTCGTAATTCCAAAATATTATCCTCACATTAGCTTGTGTTATCGCTGTAGATATTAGCGCGCTTCTTGCTCATCTGCATCTTCTGTGCCTTCTGTCCCTTTGTGCTTGCAGTTTTCTACGATCATGTAAGCGGGTGAAATGGTTTTATCGACAGCGATGTGAAAACTGATGATTTCTTCAGGATGATGCTAGCATGTCATTCGCGCAGTGGCTCGGAATCCGACGGGAAGGCTTGACGCAAGCAATTTTTATGCCGCTATTCGTGACGTCTGTGCTCTTTACGGGCTCGCTGCTTGCCAACGCGATGCGGATGATCAATGTGTCTAGACAATTCCATTCAAACGGATTTTGGCTTGCTATCAAGAACTCAGTACTGTATTACTCTATCACGCACGATCGTTTGCCGTCGCTGCGCACTTACGTGCTGGTACGTGACGGAGTGGATGAGGCTGAAAGCAGATGTGGATATTGAAGTGTAATTGATGGAGTCTGTAGGGTCCACTTACAGAGGAATTTGTATTTCGGAGCTGTATGATTCCGCTGCTCGTGTGCGCTAAATTTACTATCAAGCAGATAGTTGTAGGCAGTCCGCTAATATTTGGAGCAGGTGCTGCATGCAAAGCTGCTGTGGTTGCTTTGGTTGCAAAATTATCATGTGTTTTTGTGGTAGCTCACTTACACCATTTCATGGAATATGTTCGACATGGAAGGTCACTCAAGGACGCAGCACTAATTGTTGGTAGGTAACGCGCAGTCTCGATCGGGATAAAGTGTTGGCTCTTACGTGACTTTAAGCAGGATTCCAGCTAGTCTATACGTCTTTGTTTGGAGCCTACGCTACCTTTATTTTTTTGCGAACAGGTGGAATCATCGTGATGACTAATTGTATCGGTATCGCACACTTTCTCGTACTGAATGTTTTTTACATTTGCAGGACACTTTGCTTCAATCTATTTAGTTCATGTATTTTGCAATGTTATGGGGTTTCCAGATCTAGCATTTTTTAGCCCTGGAAATCCATTGCATCCTTTTCGAATAGGTATGTACCTGATGGTGATCACTGGACTAAGAACTAATGTTGTTCAAATGCTTGCGACGATATCGAACGTGCAGTGTTACTTGGAGCGTACTTTCTTGGCATTTATGGCTTCTCCCTAATTCTTATGCCGCTGACGGAACCAATGATATATTCATCGGAATTGTGGAACATTACGGCATCTGCAACAGAACAAGAAATTCTGTTGGGGTACACAAAGACAATTTAAAAGACCGGAGGTGTCGATAGAATATTTCAGTAACCCGAGTATGAAAGTTTACAACCAATGTCAAATGATTTAGGTGTTGGTTTGCTATTTTGGCGCGCCATTTAATGATGGCCGAAACGCATGCGACGCGACCTTCCTTGAAGTGGAATTATCAGACGCTGTAAGAGGTTGCTTCGAAAATTACTGGCCACCAGGCAACAACACTATCGATAATGCTGAATCTACTAGAAAAAGTGCTCCTCGTCCGCACTTCGATCTGGCATGGCTTTAGCACCCGCAATCGATTTAGAATCCAAATACTCCTGATTGGATCCAATTTGGCTTTCATTGGCTCCTTGGACAACGGCGATACGATCTTCAAGTTCACGAGCATGCGTCTGCGCGACAAAAACATACAACGTCAAGCGAGATGAATTCTAAAGCTGTTTTACATCCTGAATTACTCCTTACCTTGCTTTGCGACAGTTCTTTCTGTAAACTAATAACCTCAGATCGCAGCGCCATGTGGTCAGAAGTAAGCTGATCAACCAATTTATCTTTGTTTCGTAGTCGCTGTCTTAAATTCTGGGTATCGCACTAGTGAGAGAGAATTCGAGACGAACAAATTTTAAAAAAATACCTTATTCGCCAGTCGGAGCTCGGCAGCGAGGCGACCTTCACCGACAGAAAATCCACCGCTTCCTCCTAACTCCAGCATATCCTGTTGGCTAATGAGCCACGACCGTTGCAGTGTAGAGTGCGCTTCTAAGGCGTTACGAAGGACGGTGGACTGCTGGTTGAACATGTGCTGCATCTCACTGGTGGACGGAGAAAGAAAGAATTCTCGAGCGTCCAGATTGTCCAATTGTTGAGCTTGCTCACAACCTAACTTACGTTTCTGGATGCCAGATCCTAGCCTGGCCAAGTCCCCAAGCGCTAGCATTACATCCGTTTTGTCCGACAAGCTAAGAGCTGCTTCCGGTCGTATTGCTGCTGGGAAACTTGGCAGCATATCTGCGGTTCCTAACGATGGCCTTCTAATTTGCATACAGGCGAGGGGTCGCTGTGAGGTAGCTTCATTACCACTTAGCTCGTCATAGCTGTGTGTTCCAGCGACGATACGATTATCAAATTCATTTCCTTTAGCGTATAAAGGAGCTGCCGTCACAAACGCTGTCCATTCCTCAAGCGATTTTGAGTCCAATTGAGCATAGTACCTGTCTTCAAAGGGGCCACATTCCTGCCGCCAACGAAGTGGCCACTGTGCGGCTGAAACACCTTCATCATCCTGTCTATCCGTGTGAGCAGTCTGTGCACGGCGTAATTTATTCTCTAAAAAGTAAAGCTTCTGCTTGTAGATAGCAAATTGCTCGTTGCAGATAATCTTAAGCGTTCTCGCAGCTTCCATCAAAGGTAATGATCGATTCGCAATGAACTCAAGAGCATTAGCGACCACCAAATCAATATCTAACGAAAAAGCCGAAAATTCTTCGTATTCTAAACGGCGAATTTTCGCAAGTATTTTGAATAAATCCATCTGCATCAAATGTTCCTTGAACTGACCGTCAACCGACTCGACTCCACACAGCAGAGGACCGCAAAACGGCAACCCCTGTCGATTCGTAGCTAGTGTGGACCATATCTTTTCAAGTTTTTTGGCAAGCTGGACTTTGAACGGCGCATTCAGGTAGCAATGAGGGCACAGAAAAATTCGTGCTCTCTTGGAAAAAATCTGTCCATGTGGTAGCTAGCGATACAATTCAATTAGTCAGCATCTGTCTCCGCCAAAACAAAAAAATACTGTAAAAGAACCTGCGGCATGGCCTCATCTGAAATTGCGAGTGGACATTCGTTACATTTCCAAAGCAACTTCCTTGTAATTGTCTTGCGAGGAGAAGCATGTTTTAATTTACTTGACGACTTTTCAGCGTCTTCACATGTTTCCTTTCCTCCTGTCAGTGCACATGTGTGTCGAGGGCAAAACCAAATTGCATCTTCGTCCTTTGGAAACGGATATGAGCCCAGACAAAACTGATGATAGACCTTTGTACATCCGATAAACTCGCATACAATGAGCTCTCCTCCAAAACCACATATCAAACACTTCTCCTCCGACCGCACCTCGTCACCAGCTGTACCACTGTCTGGGTCGGAGAAGAGCTGAGATCTATTGCTCGAAACCGAAAGCTGAGTTGCCTTCTTTCTCCTCCCATCCAGTCTTTTCAGCAATAATTCGTCTTTCTTCGATGAAGGTGAGACCTCCCTTGACGAAGAACGACGACCTCGCGGTTTCTTTGTTAAGCCGACCGAAGTATCTGGAGAAACAGTGGATAACCGACGCTTTGCGATGCCATCTCTGGAATTGTGTTTGTACTTATACTTCTTTGTCTTTTTCAAGGACGATATTTTAGCTAACGGCAACATACCATCCATCCCATTCATTATGGCTGAATTTGGATCCTGAATTCCCATCAATTCTGTCTTCGTACGCTTTAGTAGCTCTCGTTCGAGTTCTTTTTCACGCTCCCTCTCGCAGTCAGGGCAAAACCATTCTCCAGGTGGAACTGACACCAAAGGAGGGCTCAAGCAATTCATGTGATACTCGCGCTTGCAATCTTTTCCATCACACAATATGAGCAGCGAATAATGGTCGTCTACTCTATTGCAGCGCTCGCAAGGCAAATCAACCGCCTCATCTTTGCGTTCCATGCTGCATATAACGCAAGACGTTTAAAAACAGGGCTTGTAATATCAACGAGACGGTAACTCACATGCGGTCGTAGAAGCGTTTACCCGTTTCATCCGTCATATCTATGACAATCTTTGCTTCATCTAGCGCTTCTTGAATGTGCAGTTGATTGTACTTCGTCGACGCGGTAAGCGTTGTTAGGTCTTCGGGAAATGGTTGAATGGACGACTTCGAGACCCAACCACTACATGAACACCAAAAGTAAATCGGCTACTCATTATAATTGTAAACATACCACGTACTAGTTCCTACTGCCAAAGAAATATACGCATGCCTGCCCTTTCTTGGCCCGATACCTCGCCATTTTGGCAAATTCTCCGGGCTCACTATACTGGAAGTCCAAGAAAGCATAACCAAACATTTTTGAGCTACTTAATCACATCAGCTTGATTCTGCGTCAAAGGTCGTACCCTTGCCGGCCAGGGCTGATAGCGTCCGACACGGGCGAGTATTAATCCGCCTCTTTGATTAAGTACGTCTCGAAGCGAGCTATCACATAAAGCTAATAGCTCTACCCGATAAAAGTCAGTCTTCGTCAATCTTCTTTGGAAATTCCCCCCACAACTTACCATAGTATTCCTCTTTGCGCTGCGCTAACTCTGCCGAGCTGATTCTTTCCTTAGCCATGTTTCAGCTGTCCGTTAGATGGGATGGCAAAGTAGGAGCAAAGGTCAACGGCAAGTTATAGTAGTTGCTGAGGAATTTAATATTGATTCCAAGACACTTAGCGCTAATGGTGCCGCACAGTTATTAAATTGGTGGTAATTTCACGTACACCACTTCGTTTATTAATACTAAGAGAACATATCTGCGCAAGAATGACACGCATAAATATCTACACAAGCATCTGGTGCGCAACTTCTGCAATTTCTGCGCAAAACGCATATCTCGATTGTAACGAATAATTATTAGCGTCTAAACGGCTCGATTAAGCACGCTCTAGCCTTACTTCGCTCAAACGGCGCGTTATTGCTGCTGCTCAGCCGCGCCCGACATTCAGTACGATTGCCTACACCTCCTCATTAAACGTGTGCTACCCGTAATCACCAGGTCGTTGTTTGGTCAGTAGATTTTGCTAGTGGATAACCATTGCTGCCCGTGTTGGCGCAACACCTACATGTACAGCTAGCTGCTCAGCTCGCCTGCATGTGCTGGCACTCTTCGAGTCTCGCGCGTACATTTTTCAGACATCTCCGAAGTATTCATCATTCTGCTTGAGGTTAAGCCTCAAACTGCTACTTTCCGACTGCTGTGCCCTAGATTTCGCCGTGGACGCGTTCATATGTGACAAAAAAACTTCCAACTCCGCAAGACGATCGTGCCACCGATCACTATAGTCTGAGTTATCGATCATTTCATCCGCACCACTACGTTTCCTGAATTGTGTAGCTGAAGTTGAAGGCGGAGCTGACAAACAAGCCGCATGCTGTTCAGTCACATGCATGAATAAGCCTTGATAGCAACGTACTATAAGGCTATACAGGCTCGAAATAAACTGCGGTTCTGTCAAATCGCTAGAGTTTGTGCGAGCCTGTGTCAGCGCATGCAGAATTACAATGGATAGCTGACCTGTAGACAGCTCTGTCAGAGCAGAAAGTGAGAGGTAAAGTGTATTTGTCGAATGAAAGCCCTCCTTTCTAAGAAAAAAACTCGCGTAAACCATTGCACCTGTGTTGCCACTCTCGAAATGCCATATGACGGCTGACGTTGCAGCAGGTTCTTCTGCTGTCGCCACAAAACGAAGCAGCATATCCGCAAAACTTTGTCGCGCACGCATTCTATCGTCAAGTTGGTCAGCGGGAACAAGGGTTAATGTTGATGCATCCAATGCGTTCGCATTGCGGACGCCGAATGCTGATGCGGCCAGTAGAGTCTGCGTATTGACAAGCTGCCGCTTTTCGTAGCGACAGCCAGTTGCCACAGCTTCAGCTATGGCGACTCGGTACGCAACAGAGCTACCGTCTTCTTTTTCTGAGTCACCTTCTTTCGGTCCAGTTTTGTCTTTTGACATGATATTATGGGCGTCCACAGAGGCCGCTACTAAATCTTCAATTTTTATGAGGCGCTCTTCCAGCGCATTCCCCAAGCGTTTGACTAATTCCCCCGTCAGCGACGAGTGTAAACTGTCTGCATTCTTTTGCTGATGGACTTGGTCGCTTAATTCTTTTGTCTTGAGAGACCGCTTTTGACGTAGTTTCGCCTCTTCTTGCACGACCTGTTGATTCATCACAGTGACGACAATTTGAGCTTTGCGACGAAATTCATCATCTACCAGAGCCATTTGCAGACCAAATCGAGTTCGCACTCGAGCCTTTTGCTGCTTGCCGCGACCCTCTAGCATCAAAGTCAAACGCTGAATTTGATTAGCGTGCTCGTGCTCCACGACCATTTGCTGCCTCGCCGTTCTAGCAGGTGGCGTCTTGAGTCTCATAGTCAGCATTTGCATCATCGCCGCATGTTCCTCATTAATTGAAGCTGCCGTCTGTTTGTCGACTTCTGCAAGCTGCGCTTGTTGCATCTTGCTTAAACGGTCTATTTCCTGGCGTCTCTCTTCCTCCAATTCGCGACGACGTTCACTAGCCTCAAACTCCAACCTGACTCGAAGCTCAGTTGACAAGTACTCCGCTTCATCTGCTGTCTGAGACTTCACAGGCTGTTGATTCTGTTGGAGTGATGGGGCTGGCGCAGCAATTGCAGCCATGTGGGTGAGCGCTGCCGTGTGCTGTTCGTCAAAATAAGCCAGCAAATTAGCCACCTCGCCTATTTGCTGCTTTTGAATACGATTTTTCAGCTCAGTCTTGACCTTTTCATTATTCCGTGTTGCCAGACTCTCCGCTTCTCGCAACTCATCAGCAAATTCTGAATCTAGTTGAGCTAGTATGGTGTCAACATCCCACTTACTTAAGGTTTCGACACTGCTTCCCTGACGGCCTGAGATTTCTTGTAAAGTCTGGGCTTTGCGGGCTGCTTTCTGATGGGATACAGCATGTAAGACTTGGCGAACACTTTCAAGACTTCTCGCTGCAAGCTCGGCAAGCTGAGTAGCCAACTCACGTTCGTGTCGAGGTCCAACAACCATCTCCACCGCATCAAGTAAAGAAAGTTTGGCTGGTATGAGGCCATATGTAAAGAGCTGTTGTACAGCTGTCACGTCGCACTTTCGCTGTCTGGCTGCTCGAATCATCGCAAATGCCTTTTTTTCAGATGATAATGCAGCAGACTCTGCTGCAGAGAATTGCTCTTTACCTTCCATCTCGTTGACGGAGCGGACCATCGTATGCCCTGCCGCCTCTGTCAGTGCTGATTCGCGCTCCTTTATAGCCTTAAAAGCTTCGTCGGCTTCTTGCTGCTGCCTTGAGTGCAAACGTTGGCGCTCAAGCTCGCGCTTTTCTTCAAGTTCACGCAGCTTTCGCGCTTTCTTAATCGCAATCCGAGACTCTAGCCGTGCCTTCTGCGCAGCTCCATCAGCACTGTGTGTCTCACGAAGCTCACGTAGATTTGTACTGTATTCGAAAGCCAGTTTGTCCGCCATCTCGGTCGCCAACTTTTGCATCTCTAAGGCCAAATTTTGTGCCCGCTTTGCCGCTTCCTCGTCTGCTTTCTCATTTAATCTAGCCACTAATTCTTCTTTCTCGCGTTTCTGTCGAGCCTGTTCCTTTTCTAGTTGCTGCGCCAAGCGTGCTGCAATCAACTCTCGTTCTCTCTCCTCCGATTCCATATCTACTTGAGAATGGGTCTGCAACATAGCTTCGTTTCTCTCGCACTCAGCGGCAACTCGAGCCTCTTCGTCAGCACCAATGCTCGACTGTAGAAATTCCGCATCGTTCGCGGTTGCCAACTCGTCTTGGCGGTGCTTTTGTGCACGCCGGTGAGCAATACGCTGCTGTAATTTTTCCTCCTGTCTCGCTTGTTCTTGAACTAGTGACTTAGTGAAAGCTTGCAATTCACGCTCATGTTCTTTCTGTAATCGATTTATCTCCTGCTGAACCACTTGCTGTTGGCGATCTGAACGCTCACGCTCTTGTTCGAGCTTTAGCTCTTGCAGTTTACGCACATCTTCCTCGTGCTTGCTCTGAATTTGATTCCACGCTTCCTGTTCCTGCAATGCCAGCGTCGCAACCAAAGCAGCCTCTTCCTCTCGATCTTGTTTCCATTCGGCTTCTTCTGCGGCTTTTAAGTCGCATTTTACTATTGCTTGAGCACTCAACAAGCATCGCTTCTCTTTCCGCCGCGCAATTCGCTCGTGTAATGCACATTCTTGACGCTCGCGTTCCGCTTGAAGCGCTTCTCGCAACTTCACTACCTCAGCATCGTGAGCTTTACGACATGATGTTAACTGGATTTCAATCTGCGCTTCGAGACGCAAGCGCTCAATTTCGTCTTTCGAAGCTTGGGTACCAGATTTGTTCTTATTAATTACCTGTCTTCGCTCCAAATACTGCTTGCTTTTCTTCTCTGCTAAACGGTCGGCAAGCTTTCGCTTCGAGCCTACAGCTCCCGGTGCCTCATGTTGCCGACATTCTCCAATAATCTTTTCGAGTTCAGCTGCTGTACGTGTGACCTCTATTTGAGCCTGCCGCAAAGCAGCAGCAGCCTGAACAGATGCTTTCGAAGCTTCACTTAGCTTCGCAGTCGCCAAAGTCATCGTAGTCTCCTGTCTCACTCGCTCTCGAGTCCACGCTATTAACTGCTCGTGCTTTATTTCTTCCCGCAGTGCCGCCATAGCAACTTTTTCTTCGACATCATTTAATTGCACTTTTTTCCTATTCGATTCTTTTGACACACGTGTAGACTTCTTGGCCAGCTTGTCAATCAACTGGGCTTCGCGCTTTTGCTGGTCTGCAAACTGTGTCTTTTGTAAAGCACGCCTATCGCTCGCATGCTCTTCCTCCAGCCGCCTAATTTCATGCTCCGCTGCTGATTGCAGGTCGAGCGCAGCCCGCCATCGTAAATCCATTTCAAGTTCTAGTTCACGTGTCACTTCTGCCATTTCGTGGTGCTGACGCTCAATAAAGTTCTGCCGTGTGCGTCGCATCTGTACCTCGGGGTCAACTTGAATATTCTCATCCAGTGCCAATTCATTCTCATTTATGTCTTCGGCTTCGGCATCACTACCCGTTGTTACGTGACGTAGTTGCTTCAATGCCAGTCTTTGCTTCAACGCAGACTCTTGCTGTAAACGCTCGGCTCTAAGTGACTCCTCTAATTTGGCCAGCTCAACGTCATAAGACTTTCTGCACGCTATCAGCTTTTGCTCAACGTATCTAGCCCCACAGTCATCGGCTTCATGCAAAGCCTTCTTGAAACGTTCCATCTCAGAAATCGCTTCAGCTTCTAAGACTCGTGTTCTTTCAGCTTGCTCTTTGTCAAAAATGACTAGTTCCTGCTCTTCTTCAAGCGGTAAAGACTTCTCATTTTGTACGCCAGACTCTCTGCTATTCCGTGCCGCTCGTCGCTTGTGATCAAGACGAGCCGTTAAAGCCGCTTTTTGAACTGTAGTATCTGCCTTGAGTTGGTCCTGTCTAGCAAGAACACCTCGAGCATGGGCTTCCTGCAAGCGTGCAATCTCTCGATTAACCGCTCTATCATTGTGCAGGTCTGATGTCGACTGCACCATGTTTGTCAACTCTATAGCACAAGTATTTTTCGGCATTTCTCGACCCCACTGCGGCTCTTTATCATGACATCGCTTGTTTTTTCGTTCGGCTAAACGCGCAACCAAATATTCTCGACTACTAGCGACTTTTGATGCTGAATTTTGAAACGTTGGGGCCACGAAAGTTTCATGTGCTACTCGCACACAGTTTGCTTCGAGACGAGCGGATTCACACAAAATCAGAGCCATCTTTTCTGCAGCCTTACTAACAGATAAGGCACAAAATCGCGCAAGCAGCTCGGTTTCCTGTTCCCAGCGGTGTTCAATTGAGCCCACCCCGGTATCAGCCAGGTCTACTCCATACAATTCTTGTAGCATTGCTTTGGCCGGTTGCTTATCCCTCTGGGCTTCGTCGTCAAACATTTGATTATAATCAGTCGGAAGTCGGTCACGCTTAAAGCAAACAAGCTGCTGGCGTGGCTTGTTGGACTGGATGGATTGACGCAGCTTAATCAAACTTTGAGCATGCACTTTCGTAAGGCACGTTAGTTCATCACGCACTTTCCACTCTGCTACTTCTGCCAATTTCAAACGCTGCTCCGCAGCGGCTTTTAAGGGGGATAACACAACCTCAATTTTCAGATATTCACAAACCTCTAGAGCCGCCCAATCTTGGACTTCATTTAAAGAAAGCTGTTCTTCAAGTTCACACTTCAGCTCTTCTTTTTCATCTTGATCTTTTCCTGCACTTTTGAAAGTGCAGCGCTGATCAAGGCGCTTCTTAAGAATCTGTTCTTGGTCCCGCTTTACTTGAAGTGATTTTTGTAGCTTGTCATGAGCTCCGTCATCTTGCGTTCTAATCACTCTCCATGCTGCATCTAGCTTGTCGCCATTCGACAAAAAAGTGTCCACCAGAGTGTTGACAACATTTTCTTTTGATTGCAAATTTGCCAAATTCAGTGATCGAGCCATTAATGTAACGAATGCGTCATAATTCTGACACGCCTGATCTTCTTCTCGGTCCATAGCAGCCTCAATGCATAACTTATCGTGAGGTGTCAGCGCCGTGTTATCAAAGAGCGACTGACGTTTGCGTTGAAGCCGTTCTACCAAATGTGCCTTACGCAACCGAATCTCGTCGTGCAGACGACATCGTAACTCTTCCCAGGCTCGGTGGTGTTCCTTTTGCAGCCTGTGCACCTCACTTTCTATATAATCGATCATAAGGGATTGCACAGTTGCAGGTAACGATGACAAAAAAGGTCCGTGTGTCTTTGGTGGAAGATAAGAAGAATTCACAGAGATATGGTTCTTCGAAAATTGCTTAATTGCAAGCCTTTCTTCAATTCTGCGGCGACGATGCTGGGTCTTTAAGCTCTTCAAATTCACATTACTAAAAAACGCGTAAAATTCGCGGCTAAACCGATCTGCTTCGGCACAATATGCTAAGTTCAACGCTTCACAAGCTATCTGAGCGGCTTCGCTTTCTGCACGTAGTCGCCGAGTCTCAGCTCTCAAAACAATCTCATTTGCATGCGATTTGTCGTCAAACTCCATAAGTGCCTGAATGGTCTGCTTGCTAATCACATCTTCGAGTTGCGAACGATCGTGTTCATGCTCGTCACTCAGCTCTCTCATTTTGAGCTGCACTATTTCTTCTGAAGAATTGTTGTGCTGTTTCTTCAGCTCTGCAAGTCGTTCACACCACTGTTTTGCCATTTTTTCTTGTAAGATGCCTCGCCGTCTATTTTGCTCAGCGCCCAATGCCTCACAAAGCATGCGCTTTTCATTGTCGTATTCTGTTTTGATGATATGTAGCTCTTCAAGACTTAAAGCTAGTCTTGCATTCGCATCGTCACAGCGTTTTTCAGCACTATGACCGGCTGCAGTAAATGCTGCGTTGATATTCCCTAGAAGCTGTTCATAAAGCGTATCTAGCTGTTCCACTTCGGTTCCCGAAATGTCGCGAGGCGCTTTTGTCTCATTCTGATCTGATGCATCGTCTATAGCCGTGAGTGCACCAGAACCACAGCTCTCTCTAGCCCTAGCAAGCTCCGAAGCTTTATCAGGACGCAACATTTGTGATTGCTGATGATTTTCGTCATCGAGTATTTGTTGTCGAGCATGATGATCATATCGAAGAGCAGTAAGTTCAGAGCTCAAATTTAGATGACAACTATCCAGAAGCGACTTGATGTCAGTCATGCTTTTTTCACCAGCTGATAAAATAGCTGCCTCAAGGAGATGCAGATCCATTTCAGTCTCCGCTTCTGATGCGAATTTTTGCTCAATAGCTGTGATCACGAGCTGCTGGCGAATCTTTGTTTCGTCTTCGTCGATGTCCTTGATATTCTGCTGCCTGCTAGCATCTTTATGCCTAAGACTCAAGTATATCTCAAGCTCGGCCTTTCGGTGCACTTCTTCCAGTTGTAATTTCCGCTGCTGTTGATATCCCGCTCGACAAAGTTTCGAGCTCAATGACTTGATTTGCTCCTCAATTTTCGCGGCCATAACGTCTGCCACAACATTTTCATTACCAACACCGGGATATTTGGTATTGTCTGATACCGTTTGAGCAGTCTTTTTTTGCGCAGTCATCCTTATCAACTCGTTCCACCATAATTTCGAGGGTGATCGAGCCCCCCATAATCGCATCAAAGAGGCCATGCCATCCTTTCCTTTTTTTTCAGCATTAAAAAACTCATGGCGGGCCAGCGCTACTGCTTCTCTTGACGCAACCGCAGTTAATATCGCGATAGTAGCATCATGAAGCGGCTGTGCCAATCTGTCTTCAAGTTCGTGCTGCTTTCCAAGCTTAACGTGAAGAGCTAAAGTCGTTTGTGTGTCAACTTGATCTTTTAGTTGCTGCGTCTCCAGACAGTCTTGCTTTATAGAATCTGTCTCAATCTTAGCCATTTCCTCTAAATCGGATATTGCCGCTAACTGTTTCTCGGGCAGTCGAGTCATGCGCTCCTTTAAAGACTGCTCCTGATGACACTTTTCTACCTTACATGCTACCTCCAGATCTGCCATGGCAGTCACATTTTCTTTTCGTGCCCGCATAGTCTCGCGCTCGATCTCCTTCCGAGCTTGTGCTGCATTCTGTGTACGCTGCAATGCCTCGAATTCAAGTGCGTCGAGCGCGTCCACTATAGCATTTGACAGCCTTGTTGCACCTTCTTTATCGCCCGATTCAAGAAGAGCAGTTGCTATTTCATACCTTTGCCGATACTGACGAATTGACCCTTTTATGTTTTTCCCACTTTCGTATAGCGAAGACGCTAATAATTTGGCGAGTTTTTGACCTTCTTGCCTTTCGTGATCGTCGAGAATTGTGGTGGCTTTTACATATGTGGCATCTCTCCTCGTCGTTTCCACTTCATGCAGCTGTATAAGTTTCGGCGGCAAATTCTTGTCACCGAGCTCATGGTGTCGATGGTTGAACTTTTCTACCAGTTTGGAGTTTCGTATTGCATGATCGTCGTCAAGATCCTGTCGACGTTTGGTGCATGTCACCACGAAGTCGGCGTGTAAATTTGAGAACGCATTTTGAAAATGGTGCTCAATTTGTGTCGAAATTCGATAAGCAAGAGCTGCAAGACACTTTCCGACTTTCGTTGGCTTAATTGTGAAGCGCGTGGTGATGGGAGTCATTAGGATGACTTGGTTATCGCCAAACACTCCATCGAGATACGCTAGTTGAGCATCTGCCACAGCTAAATTAACTACGCCTTCAATTTTCTCGGTTTCCACCTGCCGTTGTATCTTAAAGTGCTTGTATCGAAGCTTTATAATCGAATAATCCACATTTTCTTCCACTTTGGCATGCAGTTCTTCGTGTAAATCATCCTCTATCACTTCACTATAGACTTCATCGGATCCTATATGCTTTTTATTTGGGTCAATACTAGTTTTGGCTCTAGTTGCGTCTCGCATCTTAGTATCAAACCGCAAGTAGGTGCTTTCGATTTCACTTCGTATTGTCGAAATCTTATTATCGTATTTATACTGCAGTTTCTGAAGTTTACGATTAGCCTGTTCAATAACCGTCTCAGCAACCACTTTGTCAGCCTGAGCAGCCCTTCTTGCGGCAGTGACTAATCGTTTAATGGTCACATTCGATTGCGGCAAATTGTTAGTCTTATGACTTTCATCACCAGCAGCACAGGCTGCAATTTGCTGCTGAAGACATTTCACTGCTCTGTTTACAGCATTTTCTTGCCTCAAGTCCATATGATCTTGTTCTGCAACGATTTCCTCCAAAACTTTCTCCTTGATTTGTAAAAATTCGAATGCTAGGTCCTGATTTTTAGATTCATCTTCCATCACTTCTTTAATAATGCCCAGCTGTACATCCTTTTCGCGATAAACTCGTGCTGTATGTCGCTCCTTTCTAAGCGCTTCTTCCATGTCAATTACATGAACACGATCTTTCCACGCTTGGGAATACACAACGTTGAGTTGGGCAATAATGTCGGCATTGTCATCAACTGAACTTTCGTTTTCAGAGCCTGATAAATCGGCCATTGTCGCTGAGCCTTGTGGAAAGGATCGGTCAACTTTATATGTATCATTATCCAGATCTAAATGGAAATTCCTCGAGTCACCATCAGGTATGTCACTCTCAAACTTCAATTTCAAAACCGATAGTTCGTTAAGATATTCTTGCTCAATCGCAAACTCTTCTTGCTGAAATAGTGACTTCAAGTTTTGCTCCTCCTCAATGTGCTGCTTACGCAAAGTATCTGTGTCTTCCTGCTCGCAACGCTGAATATGGGTGCGTTTTGCCTCAACAAGGGTCTTGGAGACGACTTGTCTTGATGCCAGCTCTGCCTGCATTCGCGTCTCTTCCACACTAATAGATGACTGAATGGTGCATAAGTCTAAAGTAAAGTCGTCTAACAAGCGCTCCTTATCCAACTTTGTAAGTTGTGGGTAGCTCAATTCTAGCGACGACGCATACGCAGCCGCACTCTCCTGTACCGTTGTCTCAGGTTCGCGCTCTAATACAATCTGCGGATGTACCGATATCGGAGTATGCAGAAGCCTAACATTGGTAGGCAGCTGTGGGATAGCTGCTATGAGAGGTACTGCTTTTTTTCCAGTTCGAAGACATGTAGTAGGCTCAACCAGCAAATCTTTTAATCGAGAAAGCTGATCGTCTTGGGGTTTTGAAGCAATTAGGTCCGTTGCAGAAGTCAGCGGTCGAACATTCGCCTCTTCGTGTGTACTAAGGTTTTCGAGCATTCGATCTCTTTGATCTTGATCAATTATATTCGATTGATCTTTGACACTACTCACCGCTCTAACAAGTGCACCTTCTGCGTGTTGAGCTTGGCGCTGTAGTTTCAAAGTGCGTGGTGCTTCCTTTTCTAAGCTATCAGTCAATTTCTTAGCTCCAGCAGCAACTTCCTTCAGCAGCTTATTTAAACGATTTCGCGTTTGTGCTTGAACTTCACGCTCCCTATCGGGATTCCGTTCTTCACGAATGGCATCAAACTCACAACAAAAGTTGGTTTCCAAATCATCTATTGAAACAAGTACTTGAGGTAGAACAGCGCCAAGCTTTCGCAATGACGATAATAACCCTGTAAAAGCCTCATCCTCTTTATTTTGAGACTTTTCAACTTCGTCATGCAATTTTAGAATTCTCTGGATAAAGGTGGGAGGACCAATAGGATCGTCAGCCTCTTTTTTCAAGGCCAAGCGTTGGAGAAAGTAGCGCTGGTATGCTTCCAGAATGAATTTCCCAACTTCACGTCGACCTTTCTCATGCTCTATTAGATAGAAAAGTGATGATGAGGTTTGAGTCAGCGGATCAGGCGCAAGCAGGGTCTTTAAATTGTCAAGTGCTGCACGAACATGCTCAATACGAGAATTCTCGTTTGTTCTGGTTTGTTCAGGCGTGTGATCACCGATGGATGAGAACATCTCCTGCACAATTGCATTTGATAGCTCTGCCAGAAGTGTACCCCATCCTTCGATCACGTAGAGCCCAGTACTCACTTCGGCCAGCATAGTATTTCTTTTTTGTATAAAGTGTTTGCGATCCTGTAAGCTACACTCCACCATCTCCAGCAAAATCCTCTCTTTGTCTGCAACCATCCGTGATCGCGGAAGCCCACTGAGACTGCTTATAGGGAGGGCTTCGGACGTTTCGGCTACATCGTCTTTCGCTGAAGCGTCACTTACCGATAAAGTGGCCACCGCGTCAGAAGCAACCAAAGTGCTTACGAGCAATCTTTTGAGTTCAATTGCTTCAGCTTGCAAGTGCCGAACCAATTCCTTCACATCGCCTTTTTGAATTTCAGAATTTTTCGTTGCAGCTTCATGATAGAGCCGAAGACAATCAAACAGATTACGAAGTTCCATATCATCCTCGCTTCGGCCGTCTGAATCCACTTGATGCTCCAACTTACTTTTCTTTCGAGACCCTTGTCCATCAAGGGTACTTTGTTCCTTGCTTGTTGGTGATAGATCTGATATAATTGGTGCAGTAGACCCATGTTGAAGAATACTAGTCGAGTTCACCAAGACAGTTCCTTTAGTATGCATACAAGCCAAGTTGACGTGTTTAGTCTTCGCGCGGTATCCACTGGCACTCGGTATGTAAGTGTTTGTCCAACTTCTGGCTCGAAAATAGTACAGAGCGCCAATGATTGCTACCACCGAAGCAAAAAAAGCACTCAGTAGCCCCATGATAAGCCCCCAGTCAGGGGATAAGATAATATCATCAGTTCGTCTCTTGGCGCTGAGGGCGATCAAATTTCTCTCATTAAGCGGAACGATCGGAGCTTCAGTAGGACAACTTGTTCCTTGCTTCATGACAAACACAACTGTCTGGGCTGCTGGGTTAAGTGAGTTTCCAAACACGTACGTCCCTGGTTCTGTAAAGGAGAACGCAAACGCTGATACGAGGCTCGAATTAATCACCTTCTCAGCAATCAAGCGGAAGGCCCCGTGATCAAAACTCGGGTTAGTGTTCAGCATGGAGTTCTTAAGATAAATCGGATAGGATCGAGGCACCGACAAGTCAAAGTATAGACCGTCTCCCAAAGATAAGCAGACCATAGGATTTGCGATCGATTTTGAGGCCGTAGCTGTCGTCAAACGTCGTTGTCTTCGTGCAGAATCATCCAAAATACTTGCAGGTAGCTCATAAGAGCCTATAAATCCAGTAGAGGCTACTGTAATTGAGTGTAGCTGGCAATTGCTTCCTGATAAGCAAGATACCTTGGAGAAAAGGCCACTAGTATTGTCTACGTCCTTAAAGAGCCCCACTTTGCCAGAGATCGAATCGAGGAGCTGCAATTGACACGTGCTGCTATTCACCACAATTCGTGTTGCTTCGTCACGACATTTTTTATCACAAACTGTATCCAAGTCAAGCTGATCGTTACACTGGCATATACCAAGACTAGCGACAAATGTACCAGCACCACTGTTACACGCTGCATCGCAAACTTTTCCGCTCGCTGAAACGCATGACCCATTATCAGAGCGCACCTGACTGCTGCTGCAACGAGCGTATACGATAGGCTGGCAATCTACTTCTCCATCTTCGTCACTGCGCAGAATCATATTCTGGTCGTAAAATTCGTAGCCAGGTTCACAGATACAATACCCGTCGGTCATTTGGAAGGCGCGATGGCTACCAGCACATGAACATTTGGCGGACCCTGTCCCCGCGTAGGCGCTCGAAGAACAGGGTAAACAGGTCGTCTGTCCTTCTAAGTTTTGATATGTATTATCTGGACAAAGTAGACACGCTGATGCATTCTTGCCTTCGTAGCTTGGTTGGTAAGTTCCACGTGGGCACGCGATCTCCAATGAAGAACCAGCAGGGCAATAGAAACCAGGTGGACACGGATAGCCTCTGTCAGCCTCCGGACTTGTTGGGTGACTTGTAGTGGTTGCCCCAAGACAAACAAAACCTTCTAAGCATTGATCACAACGCGTTCGGTTGAAGTCAGATCCAAAGGTTCCAGGAGAACACGCTTCACACGAAGTATAGAGCGATATGTATGCACCATCTAGAGGAGTTGCTCGTCCACGAAACCCCAACGGGCATGGGATTTGCGCTTGAGTTGCACGAGGGCAGTAGTGGCCAAGCGTGCAGATCGAAGGCAAGGCAACTCCAGGTGAACAAAAATAACCTTCAGGACATGTGAATGGAGCCGTTGAGTTATACGGACAGTAGCTACCACCAGGACATGAAACCGGAGAGCCTGATCCAGCAGGACAGTACGACGTAGCGTCGCAAACAATTGGTTGTGCTGCTCCTGCTCTACAGAACGATCCCTCAATACACAGCAAACAATCTTCGGGGCTTTTGCCCCCCGCAAAAGCGCGGTAAGTCCCGTCTGGGCACGGGCTTGGCTCAGTGGAACCTCTATGACAGAAGTGTCCTGAAGGGCAGTCATATCCGCCAAGGTCTATAATGCCCGTTCGATTGCACAATTTCCCAGCATCACATGGTCGACAGTCTTCCAAGTTTTCCTTGCCCTGTGCTCCATTGAATGTTCCAGGCGGGCAAGGTACCTCCCCCACACTGTACGGGCAATATGAACCTGTAGGGCACGGGATGGTCTTGATGCCATCAGTGCAACTTTTGCCAGCAGGGCATAATCCACAATCGCTTAGAGCAGCTCCAAGAGTCTGAATACGTGACGAGTTTGTGGGGCATGGAATAGGGTCCAGCACTCCTTCAGGACAATAGTGACCAATCGGACAAGGACCACCTGCTTCCGTTCGCCACGTGAACTCACTATTCGATATATTATCAGATTTTGCTGCATTTGGATTGGGATGATCATTACGCAATCTGCAGTAATAACCTGCAGTACACGAAGCGGTGACAGTACCCGCTAGGCAAAATTTGCCTGCAGGGCATGGAGCACATTCCTCAGCATTTGTAAGCCCCACTTCGTGCCCGTAGGTACCATTGGGGCATAGAACGGGGTTGATGGTCCCTCTTGGACAATAATACCGTAGGGGGCATCCTACAGGACTCGACGAGTTTGTATCGCAATAGCTACCGGCCGGACACGCAACGCAGAAACTCTGTTTCTCAATGCTGTTGTATGTTCCCTTTGGACAGCGGATTTGATATGGGGAGCCTTCTGGACAATAGAAGCCAGGGTTGCATATTTGACCTGTGATTCCATCTATCGGATCGGGCACTGCAGACCCTCCATAGCAAATATGACCACCGCGACAAATGCCCCCCATAATGCCGTCTAATGGTTTAGCTGTGGTGGCGTTTCCAGCGCAATAAAAGCCTGGAGCGCATTCACCTGACGTTGTGTTTGTCGGTGGTAAGCCGGTACAAAACCTTCCAGGAGGACACTGAGTACATTCCGTTGGGCTCGCCAGAGATGAAAAATTTCCAAAAGACCCAGCTGGACACGGATACTTTGTTGGCGATGGTGTTTGTGATGGACAGTAATGACCTTGAGGACATACCAGAGGAATCACACTACCAGCCTCGCAGTAAAACCTTTCAGGACACACTTTACAAGTCGAAAGACCAATTTCGTCTGCAAAAGTTCCAGCAGGACAGGCACGCGGCTTTATCGAGCTCTCTGGACACTCAAATCCTTTTGGACAACGCTGCGTAGCGACGCTGTCTCCACCGGTGCAGAAGAAACCAGCCGGGCACTTTTCGAAAGGTGTGACAATCCCAGAGGTGCTGCAGATATACCCAGGGGAGCATGGAAGGCAATTGCTTGCATTAACGTTTTGAGTAGTCTCAGAATATGTTCCAGGGATGCATGGAATGGGGTTGCTGGTACCTTGTGGGCAGTAATGCCCACGCGTACAGACGTCACCAATTCTTCCGAGCGAGTTAGTTTGGCCAGTCGGAGTCGCAGTATAAGATCCCTGTACGCAGTAAAATCCCTCCTTGCATGGCAATGCTGCATCAATATTGGTTGATGAACAGTATGCGCCAGCATTGCAGACGATCGGAATTGCTGAACCCTCAGGACAGTTTGTACCAAGTAAACACGGTCCGCCAGTCGCTGTGATATCTGCCGGAGTACTAGTAGCAGATCCGCCGGAGCAATAGAACCCACTTCGACAACTCCCTGTTGGCTCCATGGCTGCATACCCATCAACAAATGTGCCTCCAGGTGCTAAAGTGCACTGCACGGGGCTTTGCAGTCTCGTACGGTTCCCGAAAGACCCAGGTGGGCACGGAAACTGAGTAGCTCGTTTCGTACTTTCCGGACAGTAGTGACCGATCGGGCATTCATTGCTCAGATAGTCGCTGCAGCCACGAGGGCAAAAAAAACCGGAGGGACACGCAAGACACGTCGATATTCCAGCGACGTCGGCGTACGAACCCTCGGGACACAAAAGTGGACTCACAGACCCTCGTGGACAATACGAACCGATCGGGCAGACTTGTCCACCAAAGTACACGACAATTTCAGATTCTTCAGTACCTGTCACGACCATAGTGACACCAGATGAAGGATCAGGCTGAGTATTGTTACGTCTGCAATAGTATCCACCGTCACATGGTCCAGTAGGCTCCACGAGGCCAGACCCGGTGCAGTAGGCGCCTTCATCGCAAAAAACACAATCGTCAAACCTTTTTAATCCCGTAGCATTCGAGTATGTTCCCGTCGGGCACATCAGAGGTAAGTAAGTGCCCTCAGGGCAGAAGAAACCAGCAGGACAGACATGCGTGTCATCATCAGCTGTTCTGCCAAAAGCATTCTCTGATCGTGGAGGACAAAAATTTCCTGCCGCACATAGTCCTGAAGGCTGCACTTGCCCAGGTTTTTCACAAAAGAATCCTGCCGTGCACGTCTGGCATTCAGTAACATTCGCAAGACGGATCAAGTTGCTAAAAGTTCCGACTGGGCAAGGAAAGGGTCTTTGTGCTGTGCCTGCAGGGCAATAGTGACCCGCAGGACAATTTGCGTATGTACTAGTTGTCACACCGTCGCAAAAGTGCCCCGCTGGACATTTGTCACACACGTCTTGACCCTTTTTCGCAGCGTATGTGCCAGCGCTACATTTAATTGGGGCCGTACTTGCCTCCGGGCAGTGAAACCCAGTAGGGCAGATTGCCCCACTTATCGTATCTATCGGTGTCGGCGTCGACGCATTGTAAACACAGTAGTATCCTGCACTGCAAAAACCCGACGGAGCAGCCAAGGCTGTGGAGCTGCAGTGCTTGCCTCCGGGACAGAGCGAGCACGATTCCGGGCTTGTACCTCCACTTTCAGTTCGAAACGACCCTAGGGGGCAAGGAATAGCACTTTTAGTGCCTTCTGGACAATAATTACCTACCGGACACACATAGCCATAATTTCGGCCGATAGGATTGGCAATCGGCGACGCCCCACTGCACACAAAGCCAGCAAAACACGACCCACTAGGAGCTGAGAGACCATAAGAATCGCAGTATTGACCGACGGGACATGGTGTACACTGCTCAATCATTACTAGACCTTGTCCGGTCGCAAAAGTACCAGGCAAGCATTTTACTGGCAAGGTTGTCCCTTCAGGACAGTAATTCCCAATGGGGCACAGTTTAGGTAATATCGTTCCCGGTGACTCGCAATAAAATCCAGCAGGACAAACTTCGCATTGATTTTGGGCTGGATGAAGATTATATAGCCCGGGTGGACATGGCGTTGGCGCAGTAGCACCAACGAGCGATAGCGACCCAGCTGGCGTCTCCATTTGAGTTGGAACGACTGCTCCTCCAATACAAAAATATCCAGGGTAACAGCTACCGGTCGGCGCGAGTAGCCCTGGAGTTTCGCAGTACTTACCTGGTGGGCATTGCAGACATTGATTTGCTGACTCAAGTCCAGTGAAGTTATTAAACGTTCCAGGCGGGCATAGCGTCGGTGATGATGAGCCCAGAGGACAGTAAGCCCCTCTAGGGCATCGACCACCAGAATTTAAGTAAGTCACGCCAGATATATTAAGCTCATGATTCGTTGGAGCCGACGTGTGAGCCCCCACGAAACAGTAGTATCCCGGGTCGCAAAGCCCTCTTGGACTGGTGAGTGCTGTCGAATCACAGTACATACCCGGTAAACAAAATTGACAATCGTCCTCTTCACGCAATCCGCTAGCGTTCGCGTATGTGCCAATCGGACAAGGCTCTGGATATGCAATCCCTGTGCGGCAATAGTATCCTCTAGGACATTTGATTGGGTAAGCTGTGCCAGGAGGACAATACGAGCCGGAAAAACAAAGCGCACAATCCTCCTCACTCTGACCCTTGGTTCGATCAAGGTAGTACCTAGCTGGACACGGCACTTGAGTGCGAGAGGTCGATCGAATGGGACAGTAGAAACCCGGAGAGCAAACACCCGTCGGCTCCAGTGAGCCTGCAATACTAAAATAGCCTGCGGGCGTCGGTGTGCAATCATTGACGCTGTCTTGGCCGGTGAAATTGCTATAGGTACCCGCAGGACAAATAATTGGCAATGGAGTAGCTGTTGGGCAATAAAACCCCGGTGGACACGCGTCTAACTCAAGAGCGGGTTCCCTATCGAGTCCCACAGGGCAGTATGTACCGTTGTAGCACGTGCCGTAGCTTGCTCCAAGCGCTGACCAGCCCCCGGTATTGGTCCGCATATTTGCAGCGCTGGTCGTCTCACTACTGCAAAAGAAACCAGCTTCGCATGTAGAGCACGTTTTTGATCCACTTGTCGAAAAATTTCCCTTGCCACAATGGTGGGGAACCGAGGATGCCTCAATGCAGTAGTACCCAGCAGGGCACGTGATACATGCCGGCCATGCTTCTGCTGGACCCACACTCTTCGTATTATTGAGTGAAGCGTAGCTTCCCGCCTTGCACGGGATTGGTGCAGCAGACCCAGTCGGGCAGTAGTGACCAGGAGGACAGTCGTCACATTGGCTTGGCTCGAATAAACATGTCTTGGCTGTGTATGTTCCGCTTGGGCACTGAAATTGAGTACTTGAGTACGTTCCGAGCGGGCAAAAATGACCAGGTGCACAGTTTCCATCAATATACGATTTGCCTCCTTGACAGTATTTACCTGTTGGGCAAATATTGCACTCCTTCGCAGCTGAAAGTGACGTACTAGGGCTCCATGTGCCTGGTTGGCACGGAAATTGATTTGGGTAGGCTGTACCATTCGGACAGAAGAATCCGGGGCCGCATTCCAGCATGGCCTGTGTTTCACCTCCTGTACCTTGTAAGCAGGAGTGACGCGATGGACAAATAGTGCAGTCTTGAGAGCGAGTGAGCTCTAAACTTTCAGTGTAGGTGCCAGCAGGGCAAGGGTGGTCTGTCGCAAGCACAGTTTTACCAGGACAGTAATGACCCTTAGCGCAGCGATCAACATAGTCACTTTGACCTACGTGAGGGCATGACCAACCAGGTGGGCAATCCAGACACTCGTGTAAATCTGCTGCTCCTATTTTTGGATTGTATCGACCTGCTGGACATTTTGTTGGAGCACTGCTTGCTTCTGGACAGTAGCTTCCGGATGGACATTCATTGCACTGCGAGGCGATTGTGAGGCCAGTCTTCGGACCACTAAACATTCCGGCAGGACATGGGTACTGGTTGGCAGCTCTAGTTCCTTCAAGGCAAAAATATCCTTGTGGACACACCTGCGGCTCAGAGCTTCCAGTCGGGCAGTATGACCCACGTGGACATGTCTGACAGATATCAGAGCTTTTTTGTCCTTGACTTGGATTATAAGTTCCAGCTGTACACGGATTTTGCGACGCGCGCTTAGTACCCTCCGGACAATAAAAGCCTGCTGGGCATATCTGCCGCGTCAGAGGCGTCGTTCCCATTTCGCAAAAATATCCCTCTGTACAAGGTGCACAGGCGTGATCAATGCTCTGTCACATATAATAAGCAAGGTTGGTTTTAGTAAATGACGGGGAGGAATTCGACTAATGACTTACCTCTCCTGCTGTCACGTTCCCAAATGTGCCTGCAGGGCAGAGAAAAAAACTCGTCGATGGGTTGCAGTAACCACCCATCGGACAAGCGTCTTCTTCAGGAGTCGGACTTATTGAAGCAAGACTGCACTTGTACCCTGGATAGCAAGAACGGCAATTGGCCGCAGCACCTTCACTATAGTATCCAACAGGGCACGGTTGTGGCAGCTGATCAGGTCGTGGGCACTCGTAGCCAGGATCGCACGCTGAGCAGCTCGTCGAAGCACGTAAGCTAAAGTAGCCCACAGAACAGTTTTTTGGCAACTCATTTGGTGTGTCGCAATAATACCCTCGAGGACACTCGATACACGACCCTAAACCTGCGGTTGAATAAAATCCTGGTTGACACAGCTCGACAATTGAGCTGTTTGGAAATGCGCACGCAAAACCAGCTGGACATGGTGTACAAGAGATTGCACCACCAGCTGAGAACGTTCCTTTAGCGCAAGGTACAAGAAGCTTAGTCGTTGAATCAGGACACGCATAACCGACGGGGCAAGCAATACAGGCGATGGCTCCAGACAGACTATAGTATCCATTAGGACAGGCACGAGGAGCAGACGTTGACGGGTCTGGGCAAGCATGTCCAGCTGGGCAGGTTGTACACTGTACTGCGCCTCCCGACGAAAACCACCCCGGAGCGCAAATCTCATTCTGGCTACCATCTACGTCCGGACACATATAACCTCTTGGGCATGAGATACATTGTGCTTGGCTTCCCAGTGAGTAAGTTCCTGCTGCACATGCAATCTTTTTGGCCTGATTCGTCACTGGACAATACATGCCAGCAGGACAGGTAGTACATGCAGTTGCTCCGGCCTCGGTGTATGTTCCAACAGAGCAGGGAAGCTGTATAACTTGGCCGGACTGTGGACAATAGTACCCTGCATAACACTGCGTACATCTCGCCTGTCCTTCAACGCTGAATGTGCCAGGACTGCAGACCGTTGGAGCTGCCCCTGAATGCACACACTCAAATCCAGCTGGGCATGATAAACAGGCTGAAGCGGGGTGTAGACTATACGATCCACTCGGACACGTTATTGGAGCGCTAGATGCTGACGTGCAATCCATTCCTGCCGGGCACGGGATGCAAAACGAACTGCCGTTTGTGGAATAATGCCACAGAGGACATGAGAGTGGATCTGAAGTTGGTTGCGGGCAGTAGTAACCAGCCGGACAATTGACACACTCAACAGAGCCAGCTACAGCAACAGACCCGACCTCACAACGCACGGGAGCCTCCGTTGTTGTTGCGCACATATAGCCTTTCGGACATTGGATGCACTGACCTTCTCCGTCCAAACTGTAGCTTCCTGGCGTACACGCTATAGCAGAAGTCTTAAATGGCGAGCATTCGTATCCTTTTGGACAAAAAGTACATTCAGAATGATCCGCATTATTTGTTTGGCCTAACGCGCATGCCACAAGATCTCCCGCGGTCGAGCAAGTGTACCCATAGGGACAACTTTTGCATGATACGGCTCCACTGTAGCTGTAAGTGCCTTGATTACATTTTTTTGGAGGCAACGATGTTGACGAACAAAAATTTCCAGCTTCGCACAATAAACATGGAGACGACGCATTGACCGAATAGTATCCCGCAGTACATGCTACTGGAGCCACATCAGTCGAACAGGTCACGCCAAGACCACATGAAGTGCACATCGTAGCACTCCCGAGCGAATAAGTTCCAATAGCACAAGTGAAAGGAGAGCTGTATTGGTCAGGGCAATAGCTACCAGCAGGGCATGCATGACATATGTGGTCACCCTAAACAAAAACATTAAAACCATGGATCAAAAAAAGGTTTGTACTGCTATCCCCTACCTCGGAGCTGTAGCTGCCAGGCTGACAAAGAATAGGGGATTGACTCACGTCGACACAGCTGTGACCAGCGGGACACGAACGGCATGTCACCGCTCCTTCAATGCTGTTGTACGTGCCTAATGTACACTCATTAGGCTTCGTTGAAGTACTGCTATCACAAGCAAATCCACGAGGGCAAGCTTTGCAAGATAAAGAGCCTGGTAAGCTATAGTACCCCGAGCCACAAATCTGTGGTGCTTGATTTGTAAACGGACAAAAATGTCCACCTGGACAAATCGTACATAACACAGCATCGAAAAGCGAGTATGAGCCAATTGGGCATGAAACTGGTTCAACTGTCGGATCAGAACACGCATACCCAGCAGGACATTTTTCGCAAGGGGTAGCGCCAGAATTTACAGAGTAGGTACCGTGTGTGCACGCCACTGGATTAGTTGAGCCTTTTGGGCAGTAATACCCTTCAGGACATTTTGAACATTTTGACTGAAATGACTCATTGTTAAAGTTTCCTGCTGGGCATTCATGACATTGTGTTTCGCCACTACTTGAAAAGAAACCCGATGGACACGGCTGGGGACTTGCATTCGGGTCACTACAAAAAGCACCAGCCGGACACGTGAGGCAAGTTGACAATCCTTCGCTATGTGCGTACATGCCAATCGAGCAAGCTTGACACGCGGTAACTTCATGTGCGAACTCGACGCCAGACGAAGTGCCTTTAGGGCACGCTACTGGTAGCGAGCAAGATCCAGAGCAGAAATATCCACGTGGGCAGCCAACACATTTTGAGTCTCCGGTTGAAGCATTAAACATTGAGAACCATCCTGCACGACACGGTATAACGCAAGATTCCATTTCGAGCGGCTCATAGTATACCTGCACTTCATTTTGCGGGAAAACATGATCATTACGGCCATCGTAGTTTACATCACCCGAAACAATTACATGTAATATGCCGCTAGTTGTCTGAACTGTTGATATTGCAGTAGATGCAACCACGTTGATAACCTTCGAAGTATTCCATGTACCACTTGTAAACACCACCTCATTTGGATAGGCCTCAATAAAGGAATCTTTTGGTTTCATAAATACAATTACATCGCTGCTAGGCTGGGACGTAAGAGATATCTGATAGCTGTCGTTGCGAAGTCCTTCAATGACCGCAAGAAAGCGGTTGGAGAGACGAATGGCAGGAAAATCATTCTCGCTAATATGTACGTTAACGTCGCCACCACCCGCAAATGTATTGCCGCTGTCACCTCTGATGATCGTGTGGCTTACTCTAACGAGATTTTCTTGAGTATAGTTTCCACTATATGCATCATCGTCTATTGCAGAGACAGACACGTTTGCGGGTATAGACCAATTTGAAGTAGAAAACACAAGAAATAAGGGATCAAGCGTTAGCTGTGATCGGCTGACAAAATCCCCAACTGAGAGTATTACGGTAGTGTCCCTGTAAGGTGGATCACTTAGGACGACTGTGTATTGTGCTCCAATAGCATCCCCTTCTTTCACCTGAAGACTCGTACTGCTGAACACCACACGTGCTTTGGCCAGGTTGTTCTTCGATGTGTCTACATACGTCTGATCAATAATGTGCTTAGATCCATCCAGTGTCTGCAGTAGAATAGAAGAGCCAAATGGACCTTCTATGTAAGGGTGTAATACTCCATTCAGTTCAAAAACAACATCCTGCATTTCTGCGCTGGCACCGCCTGAACGTACCCCTCGCATTATCCAGATCGCATTATTCTTTGACATTATTTCCAGGTCGCCGTCTAGCCCTGAATCGCTTAACAGGGAGACACCAGATAACGACCCATACAGAGGCGACGGCAAATATATTGTTATAGCTCCATCCGTTGGTATGGCGTGAGCAAGTGTCATACGAACCACCACCGAGGCGCGACGACCGCTTAGCAAATTTGAAAACTCCAGCTGAGCATTCCAAAGGGATCCCGGCTCAATAACAATCGTAGGCAACTGCAAAGTTCGAGATAATTGCGCTTGATTGTCAAGAATTTCAATATTTCCGACACATATTTGGCCAGCGTAACTAGGGTTCGTTACACCATTCAGATTAAATTGTATTTGGGTAGCCGAATTCACAACACTTCCATCTCCATTGCGTTGGACAGTCAGCTTGTTCATACTTGAGTCCACTGTGACACTGCACGTGCCGTCTAAGGTATCTCTTAGCACGACTTCATCGATGCCAGCGTCCGAAGCCACGGCAAAGTGTGGGTGAAGCTGGATCTCGAAACGAGTGTTCGCCGACAGTAAAGGGTCGTCCCCCGTCGTCAATACAAGATTAAGTACTGGTGCTGCACCCACCGTCACATTTGTCCATGACGCAGTTAAGATTTCGCCAGTAGCTTCTGTGATAGATTGGAATTCTGTAAGTAACAATGAACCCGAGAAGAGCAACCTCAAGAGCATTTTTTCAACTGGTTCGAAGAGACGCGAAATGAAATTAACTAAAATAGCAAAAGAAATTACGTTAATTCACATGATACAACGGCAATCATGGTGTACACGGTACACTGTACACTGTACAGCGATGCAGCATGATATTGTGCGTACATAAAGCTTCACGAACGTACACGACAATAAAGAAGACCCAGATTCGGAGTTTTGGGCATTTTATTCAATAGAGAATTCGAAATTGAAGTCACAAAAGTTTGATCT